ATGAGCAGCACCCTGTACCAGAGCTGTACGGTTTAGCACCAATCTGTACCTCGTGGGAATTTATTAACATAAACTTAAATTCTATCACTTAACCAATCATTGCCAATAACCAAAAGAGAGCTTAAGAGATGTAGTTTATTATGATCTCACAGTTAATAGACTACGATAAAAGCTACTTCACTAACTTTTTATTTAGTACTGGACGAAAATTAGAAGCAAGTGAGTAGAAACATGTTTTTACACTTAACCACCCACCCGATTTTCCATCCAACGACCGTTGGAAAGTAACTTTTATCCATACCGATTGCTCTCAGGATAACCTTACTTCCGATCCAACGACTGTTGGTACCGATCTTACATTTAACGACCCACTCGATTTTCCATTCAACGACCGTTGGGAAGTAACTTTTATCCTTGCCGACTGCACTCGGGATAACCTTACTTCCGATGCAACGACCGTTGGGACCGATCTTACATTTAACGACCCGCTCGATTTTCCATCCAACGACCGTTGGGAAGTAACATTATCCTTACCGACTACACTCGGGATAACCTAACTTCCGATCCAACCCAACGACCGTTGGGACCGATATTACCTATAACGACCCGCTCGATTTTCCATCAAACCACCATTGGGAAGTAACATTTATCCTTACCGACTACACTCGGGAAAATCTTTACTTCTGAACCAACGACCGTTGGGACCGATCTTACAGTTAACGACCACTTCCAACTGTCCGACCAACGACCGTTGGGAAATAAAGTCATTTCTCCGACATAGTTATCAGGAATAACCGTACTTTAAAATCTCAACCTAATCCACGATCCGGTTTAAATTATCTTACCACCTTGCAAATCTTATTGTTGGTTATTTAGGCTATGATGAGACCGATTACGTAAATTGTTGGACATCGTCCTTAACTTCACGGGTCTGAGCCTTAACCACCAATTAGAAACGGACTTTGGTTTGCTGAGCTATTTGGACGAATTAAGTGTAAACTGCTTTACCAAGTGGCAAAAACGTTGTCGACCAGATAAGCGTTACAAGATCCCGGTGCAATAAGCAACCAGTGTACTGGTGGAGTGGTGGACTACCGAGATTTTGGAATTGCTTCGAGCAGCACTGAGAGCCAGAAGACTTGCTACCAGGGCAAGAGAACAAATAGACAGATGTCGTAAGTGGGATGCTTCCAGGGTGGCTAGGACGTCTCTTTGTCGAGCCATCAATCGGAGTAAACGCAGTTGCTGGGAGAAGTTATGGGACAATGTCGATTCCAACCCAGGTTACAAACTTGTAACCAAGAAACTTGGCACCCGCTTGACCTTCTGTCATGGACCGGGCGGGACCACTATGGAGAGGATAGTCGAGTCCTTTTCCCAGCTCACAAGTTGCGCCCACTGCGGGATTTCGGATGGGTGGACGACGCCCCACTTTCCAGTCCTGAAGAGATGAAGGTGGCCGTCCTATCCCTGAAGAACAATATGGCTCCTGTACCCGATGGGGTCCCCATCGGAATCGTTAAGAAGGTTTTGACTACTAACCCCCTTGATCCTTTTGAACATGTACAACGCCTGTCTGGTCAAAGGGGTTTTCCCCTGGTGCTGGAAAAGAGCTAGGCTTGTGCTTATTAGGAAGGATAAGGGAGACCCACACCTGACATCCTGTTACAGACCTCTGTGTATGTTGGATACGGCTGGCAAAGTCCTCGAGAAGTTGATCCGTTCCCGGCTGAATTCAGCCGTGGTCGCTGCGGGGGACCTGTTCACTCGTCAGTATTGATTCAGGATGGTGCGATGGTTGACGCTATCGAGGAGGTGTTGAAAGCTGAGGATTTTAACCACTACTCTCGTAGGGTTGTGCTGCTCGTAACACTCGATGTGCCAAATGCATTTAATTCCACGAGGTGGTATGATATGCATGGATGCTCTGGAGAATACCTTCCACGTTCCAGCATACCTCATGCACATCATAGAGGATTATCTCCGGTTCCGCCTCCTCATGTATGACATTATGGAAGGCCCGCGGACTATGAGTGTCTTTTCTGGTGCTGCCCAAGGTTCCATACTCGGCCCAGACCTCTGGAATGTCACTTGTTATAATTTATTGCCCGCCATGGTCTTTCTGAATAATTAATTGATGCCTACAACATATGTTTTATTCTTAATTTAAAATATTGTAAATATTGTCATTGTTCCCTTTGTTAAATACAGATCAAGTTTAATAATTGTTTTTTAAGTCTTGTCTTTGATATTTTTAACATCGCTTATGACATTGCAGCTTTAATAGCTGCACGTAGCGTTGAGCTGGCCCAGCTAAAGCTGAACCGAGTAATGCATAGGCCTACCACAAACGCATGGATGGCAGACCATGGTCTCTCGCTCGCTTTGGGCAAAACAGAGATTGTGATTTTGACAAACAAACGGTTTGACAACATCGTTCCGTTGAGGGTGGGGACCGCCAAGTCCAAACTGCAAACCGTTGGTACTGACCTTGGGGTCATGGTGGACAGCAAGCTTAGCTGGTGGGATCAGATATCTTCCGTACGGCGTACGAGGCCGTTACAGTTGGTTATTCTCTTAGCCGGTTGATGGCCAATGTCGGAGGGCCTCGGTCCAGTCCGTACTTTTGTACGGTTTGGGCAGATGCTCTCAAGAAGGAGGTATATATGATGTGGTTCACCCGAGTGCAGCGTCAGGCAGAACTAAAGGTAAAATCTGCCTACCGGACAGTGTCCGAACCCGCCATCCGGGGGGTTGCTGGAGTCATCCCCGTCAATCTTTTGGCGGCGGAGAGAAATGCAATTTATCAGCCCAGTGGGGAGGACCAGGCACAAACAGAGGAACACACCCGCACCTACTAGCTGTGGCAGGAGAGCTGAGGACAGGAAACACGGGGATGCTGGACCAGGCGACTGATACAGTAAGTCCAAACTTGGGTTAATCGGCGGTGCGGAGAGGTGACCTCACCCAATTTCTGACGGGTCACAGCTTTTTCCGGTCATACCTGTTCATGATGGGCAAAGCCGTGTCACCCAATTGCATATACTGCTCAGGCATTCCCGATAACGTGGAACATACTTTTTTCCACTGCCACCATTGGGAAAGGCCTCGCCTGGAGGCTCACCAGTTTGTAGGACTGCTGTCGGTGGACACGGTCATACCGATGATGACGGAGGGTGAGGACAATTGGACCTGTGTGTCACATTACATCCAGGGTATTCTCTGCGTCAAGAAGCTCTTGCTTGACCGAGATGCGGTGTAGGTCATAAATAATCTAAATTCCAGAAACGGCACGAGCCCTGAGGGCTTAGGTCACATGTTGGCCTGACTCTTAATAATGTGACAAACAATTCTAGGTCTGTGCCCAACTTAGTTGAGAGCGATTTTAGTGAGTAGTCTGATAAGTTCAGGAGTCTCACACTACAGGCAGGCTGGCTACATGTGTGCCTAAAAGCATTTCATTTTCCCTCCTCTCCCTAAAAATAAATAATACCCCCGCCGCAGCAAACCTGCCGACTAAGCGAATTTCCATTTGTCTGAATTGATTTTCAGTTAAATATATTTTAATAACATTAGGTTTAACGAGTACGTAGGTTTGCTGCTACAAGGAAACTAATAAAGTGTGTTTTTGAGTAAAATATTGATGGCTTAGTACAAAATAAATAAATTTGCCAAGTTTGATCAAAATATATCCATAAACAAGCAAACTACAACATTTGACAATATTCTCCTTAAGAATAGCATGGGAATTTTAAATTTACAATTTTTTAAATTTTCTCCGTTACCAATAATTGAACAAAAATACTTTTATATACTAAATTATTTGTTTTTTTAAGCTCTTTAAAAAGGTCTAAAGAGAAATCGGGAAATTTTGTGTTTTGAGGGTCAAAAGTGAGAAAACCCAATTTTTACCCCATAAAACCCCCCGTAAAGCCCGTTCCCATGGTCCGATCGTGCTGGTTCGCGAACTCATTCAAGTTTATCCCGCTTTACACCTTTAAACCAAATTTCATCAAAATCGGACAAAAATTACTCAAGTTATCGCGTTCACGGACGTATATATATAAGTCTACATATATATATATACATAATATAAAAATTTGAACGAATGGTGTTTTTGGCCTCTGGGGACATCAAAATGAAAAAGTAAATCGGTCCCGGGTCTAGGTCTTACCGTGCCACCTACGGTAATAGCTACTTCCCTATAGGGAAATTCGCTAAAAATGAACGATGTGTGGGACTATTGACAAGAATTCAAAACAGGCTACAAACCCATTAAATCAATCGATACATAGTTTTGATGTACATGTGATTGATTACAATCGAAGTTTACAACAGCTGACTTTTTACTCCCTAGGGAGTAAAATAGCTACTTTAGACCCCCAACGTTTATATTAAAAACAGCTGTTTTTCTGCAGAATGATGTTTTATGACACACTACATAGCAAACAGCTGGTTCCTTGTATCTTTGTAGACAAGAAAGTTGTTGTTTAAAAAAGGGACCTGTAAAAAACGGCTAAAAAAGCTCGGAAAATATACCAAGCACTCTTACTCTGCTCTTTAAAAAAAAAGATGTATACAAAGCTCACAAAGTAGGCTCACAAAGAGCTTCCATAAAGCCATAAACATTATGGTAATAACAATTCACATTGCTCTTAATAAAAAAAACTGTTGTAAAATGTTTTGTTAAAATAGTGTTTGAATCTTTAAACACCCCATGTTTTATTTACTGTTACCCCCCTGTATACTGTTGCTGGTAGAGTGGCAATTAATTTCCTCAGCAACTCACACGGGAAAGTATGAATGATACTTACATGAAATTGGTATACAATGTTAATCTAACTTTTAGTATTGTGTACCACTAAATTTTTTTGCTACCCAGCGAGCCAATCAAAAATGTACCGTAGTGTGAATCTATTATATATTTTTTTAAAGTAACTTTGAGTTGGTAAAAAATAGTGGTCTACAATCTTGTTATTGTTATATAGTTTTATACTCACTATATCCTATTGCGCCCCAGCCAATGACGAACGGAGAGTATCCAGTAATATCTTGAGGAAAGATACTTTGTGATGGTATACATATTGGGCGAATTAGTTCTGTAAGAGATTAGAAACTCATTACAATCAATTGTAAACATCTTGTTATTAGGGTGGGAATAAGTAAATACAAATTCTACTTTAATATAAAATATGTTTATTCCTAAATGTTCTTTTGGCATACCGGTATGTGATTTTCATTACCTTATTATTAGTTTGGTAACAATTTTTATAAATTAAGGATAACTTATAGCTCACCAGTGTCAGTGAAATATTCTAATTATTTGTGTCAAGTGAATTTTTTTAGTTTCTCATGCTAGTTTGGACTTTTTCTCCATACAGGCCTGCTATCATCACAAAATTATTATTTTTTTTTTTATTGTTTACAATACAATCTATGATTGATGGGATGTCTTACTTGACATGTTAGTCTCTGCCTTCAGGGGAAAGAGCACGAATGACTCTGGAAACAATCAAACCCCTCTTAATATTCAATTGTAGGTAGATTATCCCTGAATGTTCTTTTGGTATATGTGATTTACCTTGTTAGTTTTGTAAAAATAACTTTTTCAATTACATACAAATTTGACATTTATCTATGCAATTATATGTGAAAACTAAACTATTTATATGCTTTTGAACAAATCAATTAATGTCATGTTCCTATCCACATTTTAGCCTAATTTAATAGTTAAGGTTTTTATACAGGATTAAGAAGTATAGTATTAAGATTAGAAATGTATTAAAGTATGTTCACAAAATATATACGGTTTAAGGGGAGGGTTTCCTGGGGACATCCACAACTTTTTTAGCTTAATGTATATATCAGTTGTCGGCTGTTGTTTCAAAGATAGGGTGAGGTGGAGGGGATTAAATAGCTTCTCCTCAAACCGTCTTAATTTTGTGAACGGAGTATAGGATAGTACACAAACAAAATATAAATATGTAACAAATAAAATTTAAAATTACATAAATTAAGTACTTTAATCAACATAGCATATAAGTCAAGTACTTGTGTGTCAGTAAGACATGTTTGAATCCAAAAATATTAGCAAATTTCTCATATAGGGAATAAGCTATTACCGCAAGTCTCGTGTGGTAAGACCTAGACCCGGGACCAATGACTACCGAGCTAAACAGTCAGTTTTAAATTGTGGTGTAGTAAACCATGAATATCTATCAAATCTTCTACATTCATCTACAAAATCTAATTAATCTTCTATATGTATCTTCAACAAAGATAATATTTCATAAAACTATACTATCAAAACAGTTTGATTTTGTAAGAAAAATAATGTTAACTTACTTGTAAACTCAACTGGGTTCTTAAGTTTGACTAAAGCAATGTCGACTGTATGTGCAGCAGCATCATAGTTCTCATGAACAATTGTTTTCTCCACAGGAATGTCCATGGGAGTAGCTCTGTCTGGTATACTGTCATTGAGGTTTAGATCTCCCAGCCGTACCACCGTTCTGAATACAACATACATAACTTTATAAATATTTGAAACAATTGCAAAAATATAATTATCAAATCTATACTACTGATTTCTCCTTATGTAAACTAATCTTAATAGGCAGTCTTCATCCTATATTTTACAAACAGGTCTGTGTTCAATATAAACGCAATGGTACTTCTCTCTTAACCATCGATGCCAGCTACTCTCTTTTATTTCAAATGGTAAGCTAAAGCAGAGTTCAGCATTAAGGCCTACCACACACGAGAGACTTTTTGTCGGCTGACTGTTGGCCATCTGTCTGGCTGGAGTCGGGTGGACAATCGAAAGGTCATCAAGACTGTTTGGTTGTTGACTATGGGTGCGCACACGTCACGACTGTTTAGTCGTATTTCGAGTGTCAAAAGGATGTATATGACAGAAACCGCTGTCGTATGTGCGTTACTGATAAGATTTTGTGCAAGAAAACGTAATAGAAAATACTGGGTGCATCCAATTTATAGTCCGAGAACCTTGAAAGGCCAGATTTACCTCTATACTCGGATTTGAGGAAATATCCGGACAAATTTTTCATGTACTCATGAATGACTGTTGATAGTTTTGACCATTTGGTAATACCCCGGCTTCAAATACCTCATCCCATAACTGTTAGGGAATAAGCTGTAACCGTAGGTCTCATGGTAAGACCTGGTCCCGGGACCGATTTACCTTTTCGTTTTGATGTCCCCAGAGGCCAAAAACACCATCCGTTCAAATTAACACACACATATATATATTTGTCCGTTAGCATGATAACTCGAGCAAAAATGATCCGATTTTGATGAAATTTGGTACAAACGTGTAAACCTACATGTATTTTATTCAAACGAGTTTGCGAACCAGCATGATCGGACTATGGGAACGGGGGTTTATGGGGGGTTTTATCGGGTAAAAATGGGGGTTTCCCATTTTTTAACCATAAAACTAAAGATTCCACAATTTCTTTAGTAAACATTTTGCAGAGCTTAAAAAACAAATAATAATTTAGCATGCTAATTGTTATCATAATGGTTACAGGGAAATTCCAAAATATTTAAAGTTAAAATTTTCATGTCCAAATGAGAATTCACTTAGTCTGCAGGTTTGCTGCAGCGGGGGTATTTTTTTATTATGTCCAAATACTCCTTCAAAGACTTTTTATAAAGAGGGGACCGTGCCTCCAATTCATCGATAAGTATATCAACTTTCTCGTCCCTCAAACACTTGCACTGGTGGTTGTCGAAGCCATAATAATAACAATAAAACACAAATAATAATACTAATCATAATAACAATAAAACACAAATAATAATACTAATCATAATAACAATAAAACACAATTATAATACTAATCATAATAACAATAATAATACACATGATAACAACGCACTTGACTGTCAGACAAACAGACTTTTTAGTCGTCAGTGTGCGCGTTCAAACTTATCTCCATGCCTTTATGAATACGACACGACAGTTGAGTCGGGGAGCAGTTGGCGGGAAAATCGGTCAGCACCAAAATGCCCCGACAGTCTGCCGACTGTCTTGCTGAGGTCGGCCCGTGTGCGCGTTTAGATTTATCACTATGGGGCCGACTTTGACTCCCTACTACAACTAAATAGTCGGCCAAAAAAAGTCTCTCGTGTGCGGTACCTACCTAGGCCTAAGAAGTGCACACTCCCCCATATTTATTGTGACTCTGAAAGGCAATACACATCCAAGGCAACTCATGGGTCCACTGTAGGTTATACACAATCGTTCGTTGGTCTCATTGGGTTGGATACTTCGAGAATATTTAGGTTTTTTAAATGTGAGTGGTACATCGGCGCGAGCGGCGACAGTAGCCTAGCATCTACGCACATATCGATAATTATTGTGTTTATAATAATGTAGTTTTATAGTGTGATTTTTAAAGCGGGTTTCATTAACCCTCCAACTTGCAATGGGCGAACTCTGTAGTGGCAAAGCATATTTGGCGATTTTGCAGTCATATTTTCGAAAATTCATATAAACTAAACCAACAGACCAAACCTATTGAACGTATACTTTGAAGTGTTCGTAATGAAATGAAGAATTTGAAAATGGCAACAAAATGAATATTTAAAATATTGTAGAAAATATTGACAGTAGGTAAAAAAAATGCTGTATGAACCAAAAATGTTTCATGTAAACTTCAAGATTTCAAAATTGTTGGGAATTTATTTCCCTACAAGGAAATGTAAAAAGATTCCAATCGCCATGCATACGAAGTTATGGCCCAAAAACAATAAAACGACAAGTTTCATGATTTTGCACTACAAATTTAAAACAAAAACCAAATAAATGTATTATCAAGAGATAAAATAAAAGTAAAAATTTTTAGGCAATGATATTAGAGATCAAATGAAGTAAGAGTTGTACATGTAAAATGATCATTTTAATAAACGTTAATGACTTTTAATAAATGTTTATATTTGTCTAGAAAAACAATTTGTTAGTCACACATGTATATTATTTTACCTACGACCGTTTTTTAAAGTAGCCATTTCAGTTCAGTTCTTAGAATTGAAAAGTTTCACTTAACAGCTGTTTACTTTCATATCAGCATAGTTTCATTTCATATCAGCATAGTTTTTCTCATATCAACACGGGTAACGGACCAATGAGGTTCAAGGATTGAGAGAAAAGAAGTACAATTGTAATACTTCTCAACTAATCAGCTGATCAGCTGACAATTTTAATTGTTGATCCGGCTTGTTCCTGTTGATACTCGCGTATTCTTAACCTAAGTTGGTGGAAGTTAAATGAAGGTTGATTTTAAAATATCAGTTAGTGAAAGTGATGTTGACGAGATAGAAATGAGAGCACAAACTGTTTGTGCTAATCTTTTGCCACCAAAATCAAAACAAAGGTACCATATGCAATTACATACCAGCAATTCATTAAATGGACAAAACAAAATAAGGTTAAATTGATAAATGAAAATGTTCTTCTGGTTTATTTTGAAAACCTCTTAACCACTTTTTCACCCAACTCGTTGTGGACCACATATTCGATGCTGAGATCTAACTATGTAAATTAACTGTTTCACTATATTATTCAGTTGTCCAAAAATATATACAATATTTCCCTAATTGTACCTGATACAGTATTTATGGTAAGAATGCTGCTAGCAGAACCTATTGCCTGAAAAAGTAATGTATTATTTAACAAAGTTTTACAAACACGTAATTACATGAAATCAGCTGATTATACAATAAGTCGTTGCATCACTTTCAGTGACAATTACAATAAACTAAAACATAACCTCTCTAGGAAGTTATGAGTAGTGATTGTTAGTAATAAAAAACCAGATTTTTAGTAATTAAAAAACGTTCGTAGGTAAAGTAGTGTACGCAACTCGCGTTAATAGTCTTTACGACACTCGTAGAAGTTTTTAAGGCACTTGCCAAGGCTCGTGCCTTAAATTTTCTACTCGTGTCGTAAAGACTAACTTAACGCAATCGTTGCGTAAACTACTATCTCAAACATATAAACCCCACATACCAACTATATAAAATTAAAGGAACCCTATTCCCCCACATGAATATACATAGTTATAAAGGCAAATATACATAATAACTATTTTATAGTTTTTTCTATAAAATGCTGCTGTGCCTTTTTCATTTGGCGATCAAATCATTTGTTCATTATGACGAAATGTTTCATTAACGGGCTAAATGTAATGTCCCAGACCTCAAATTAAGTAAGTTTATCCACATAACACAGTTTACAAACTAAATATGTAGGCCTACAAATTTACAACTAATAAATATGATTAAATTTCAAAGTGATAAAGTCACACCCGCGATATTCGTTGTTGGTAAACATAGTCAATGAAGTTAACAAAAAAGGCTAAAAATAGTGTCTCAAGTTTCTAAAAGTAATGTCACATTTCAGTCGAGGCACAACAAATAACATCGAAAATAAACATTTACAACTTTACAACTTATAATCATGATGTAAACTGATTTTTAAGTAAAATCACACCAAAACTCGACTTGTTAGTTATTGGTCAACAGAGATTGAGGTTAGTTAGTCAGGCAACTTTATTTTAATGTATTGAAATATGTATAATAAAGTGTAATTGATAACTTGAAAATCTTCGGTAATTATATCGATCACAGACGTGTCGCTAAACAATTTTTTTCCCCTATTCTTATGCTAAATTACGTCCTGAATTCAAAAATGATTGTCATTTTCGTCAGAAAAGCACAGTTTTCCCGGAAAAGCGGTAAAACGGAAAAAACAAAAATTTCGCGGAAATGGGTCATGTGTATACTCAAATTAACCGGTAAAGCGAGCTGAACAAGAATATGCAATTCTGCAAGAATTCCAAGATCCGACTAACATTAATGGAGATACGGCCGAAAAAGCGCGGCCGGAAAAGTTAATTAGTCACAACAACGGCATCAGGAGGATCCATAGGTGCTGCTGTCTGTGGGAGCGATTTAGAGGTTATTTGGTGAATATATATTCTTTATACCCTTGATTATATTAGGTTAGGTTGGGTTAGGTTAGGTTAGGTTGGGTTAGGTTAGGTTAGGTTAGGTTAGGTTAGATTAGATTAGGTTGTCTAACCTAACCTATAACCCAACCTAACCTAATATAATCAATGGTATAAAGAATATATATTCACCAAATAACCTCTAAATCGCGGTTAGGTTAGGTTAGGTTAGGTTAGATTAGGTTGTCTAACCTAACCTAACCTAACTTAATCCTAGCAGTGGCCAATGTTAGAAGTGGGGAATGGCCAACCCATTTTGGCGATTTTGCAGACCTTTTTTTGAAAATTCGTAAAAATTCAACCGTACAATGAAACCTAGCCAACCTCATATTCATTTTGTTCGGAAAGAACAGGAGAATCTAGAAATAGTAATATCATAATGATTTAGACAGTGTATTTTAAATTTTTTTTTTTGAAATTTCAAAAGGGGCCTCGGTATTTTTTTCGACAGATTTTTTATGGGAAATTCATTATAT